AAGGGGAAAGGTATACAAAATCAGAAAAAAGAATAGAATTCTGTAAGTAACAATGTTTTGGCACAACTAGAATTGCCTTTCATATTTTATTTTCTAAATACAGTAACATGGAAAGGAGGGCACAAGATGAATTCAGTGCGTGGTATTACACATTTTTTGTTGCTATAAAATTCCATTTTAATACATAGAGTCAAATTTTCCTTACTCATTCTCGTATAATTTCTTAGTTTTCTGACAATTACAATAAAAGTAAAATAAAGAAGTTTTTTTATTAGCCTTAGAAAATAAATATACTTTATATACGTAGTGGATAATTGATCGAAGATCAATGTATACTTTGCTAATACTTCATTTAATACTTCAATAGTATATTTTTTATATAGTACTTAAATAGAATTTCTGTAAATTCACAAAATTTTATACACCGAGTTTTCATTGAAATGCACTTCTTGTTAGCAAAACGTAAACAAACTATTTTCAACGAAATGTTTGTCTGTCAATCTATTAAATCTTTTGTATCTAAACTTTACTTCTGTATATGCATTGCGGCTTAATGGATTGTGATGATTTATAAGATTTGCCTAACAAAATGATGAACTAACAGGATTTTCTGGAATTTCCAGTGTCAGCAATAAAATTTTTACTGTAGATTCTGTGTGTAGTTTTACCCAACAGCTTACATAAAAGTAATCGATGGATATCTGATGAAATTTTAAAATTTCAGTCCCAGTGGTTAAAACAATGATCTAACATATTCATTTTATCCAGCAAAAACAGCTGTACCTTACATGTAATAACTAAAAGAATTTAATGAAATTTCCACTTTAAATTCTGTTTGTCAAAAAATTTTCAAGAAAATTAGATTTCAAAAAGCGGTTATTAATTGGAATCAAACTGACACTTTCATGTTTTTCAAAATTTAAAACAAATGTATGCAAAGGGCATTTTTACCATCTTGGGTGCGTTAACATTTCGCTTAATAAGAGTTCATTTATAAAGTTCATTATAAAGTTGGCTACAAACACAATTACATTGACTTTAAGATTAGATGACTGTTTTTCATATCTCCAAATCTGTAAGTGGGTATTGAAATTTATAAGCGAAAACTTTCTCTAATGGATCAAATATCAAAATCATCTAAAAAATTGAGCAACAGATTTCAAAAATGTACTACGCCATTAATATTCTAGCTATTGTATTATTATTAGGTTTTGTACAAAACATATTAATGACAAAGAAAATTACATACAAGTTTGTAATTAAAGTAAAATTGCTGAAGAAATTATTTTGTGAATTGTTTTTGCAGATAATTAACTTTATTTACTGTACAATTTTTATTATAAATCAATCTATACTTTAAATTAATATAGCTGCCGATTTCCAATGTATATATATATATATACTCGTATATAAAAAGGGGACAGACTTAAAATGCTTTTAATGTTCATTCAATTGATTCACGATCATGCGAGTGAATATTAAATTTTTTCTCAAGGGAGTAAAAAGCATTAAACACATAATAGTGTGCAAATTCCTCAAAAATTACTTTAAAATTACTTTTGAATCTACTAGTGATGTTAAGAATACTTTTATGAAATGTAATTGATGCTTCCATAAATTAAAAAACTTTCAAATTAGAGGATTTTGCGTTTAATTTTTTATGTTTTATTTTTCTGATAAAAGGGTTTAACATGTACCTGTCTTTCATATCTATGTAAAAATAAAAAAGTGTATTTTTTGCAATTATGAGATACATACATATTATGTATACATAATTATACAATATATTACGGGAGAAAAAAAGGGTAAAATGCATCTTGAGTATCAACGCATCACAGTGTTGTTGTGCTTTTAATAACCAGAAGCAAATTTTGAAAGACAAAACATCCATGTTGTATATCAATATACTATAAAAGTGTGTACAGGTATACACATACTTAATACAAAAAAAGGCGAGTTATATTTAATTTTAAAGCAAAATAAAAAAAATTTTAAAGCAACATAAAAAAAACAAAAAACGTTTTAAATTAAAGAACTGCCTTTAGGTTTCTTTTTTTATTCCACTCAGTTATTATTATTAAGTGTTTTTAAGAGTTCCGTTCTTATAGTTTAAAAATTACTGTACTTATAATAGCCGCATATGACTTGGAAAGAAATTTTTGAATGCATTACATATTTTTGCTCACAAATAATATTAATTTCACTACAAAATTAATAATTCAGATAGTTTATAAGGGTATAATCCAATTTTTGCAATGCACTCCTTTATAAAATTATTCTTCTAATTTTCAATTCGGTTTCTAATTTTTTTAATTTTAAAAAATTATATTAAACTATTCAATGTCTTTTTGTGCTATTATATCTGTGAACCTAGAAGTTGCTTGTAGTCCATAAATTTTGAGGCGGTTTGATTTTGAACAAACAACGTACTTGTCCAACTTTTTGTAATAACACATGGATAACGTAATATAGATACGATCAAAGTATTAGTGTTATTTATCTATAAGTCTCAACTATTTTTAATTGAAATAATAAATCGTGGTTTAGTGAAATACAAGAGAATTGTTTTTTCTATTTTGTAATAATTATGTAATTAAAGTAATATGAAATTCATAACAAATAAAAGCTTGATATCGAACTTTATCGTAGACTATGTGCATTGATTTTTAGCCCTTTTCCCGAACAATTTTGAGAAAAGTTTCACTCTGTCCGTACGGGGGCATGTTTACAAAACTTCTATACCCTTGAAGATAGAAAGTTGAAACTTCATAGAAACTTAGAAGAAATATTTTTATCGATTATTTTTCTTAAATCTGGTAATTAACCCTTAAATTTGAGCATTATGTTAACGCTAATTTAAATTTTTTTTTGCTTTATTTCAAAGATTGCATGCTCATCTCAATCTTTGAAATATCCTTGTATATAAATTAAAGTAGTTTTAATAATTTAATATGTACATGAATTGTTTTCAAAAGCAGTATTTCCATTTGCTGAATTAACTTACGATATTTTCAGCATTCATGCCACTTTTGTGGAACTATTTGGTAAACTGAGAAAAAAGTTTTAAATCACATTTTCTATACAAACTGACACAAAATTTAATTTTTCGCAGGTTCGATACAAATATTTAGACTCTTAACAAGAGGATACTTACAAATAAGTTAAAATTGACATGAAAACAAATGTAATTTGACATGACATGATACGTTGAACAAAAAAAAAAACAAAAGAAAAAATTTTTTATTTTGCAATAATTAACAAAGTCGTCCTTTCAAAAAAATTTAAGAGAATTAACAGGCTAAACGTCTATTTAACCTAACTCCTCGGTAAAATTTTGCACTTGCGTTATCTCAAAACTTCACTGAAGTTTTTCTATATTGACATTTTATTGTCAACATAAAAACATTGCAATATTTATGTTGACGATGTTGATATTTTTGAATGTTGATATTGAATTTTGTAGAAATTGTAGAATAAGTGCGGGTAATATCGTATAGGCGGGTAATGTGGGATACCAATTTATTTCTTATACTGAACGTGTAACCATTATCTGTTTAAACAGAATTTACAGCTTAACAATTGAATAAAGTGAATCTTGTCTAATTATGCTGAATTTCATTTTACTTTGGAAGTAGCATAACTTTTTTTGTTTTTTTTGAAATGTTGACTTTTTTTACAGGCAAATCAAAAGTTTTGTTCAGTCGAAATTTGTCATCGTGCGGAGCTGGATGCAGTTTAAATTTATTAATTTTAGTTTGAATTTTGATGTGTAAAGTTATGTTATAATAATTCATTTATAAAAAATATAAAAATTTTTTTTTTAATTTGAAAAAATGTACCCTGTCGGGTAATGTGGTATATCTTAATGAGGGTATTTTGGTATACTACATTGCATTAGCAGCACATATCTAATTTTAATTTTAAGCTTTACGTTAACGTAACAGTGCCTAAAAAGGGAATGAAAGTAAGAGCTTATGACCAGATTTCTATGCGAAAAGCAATAGAAGTAGTTCGTAATGGAGAAATGGGCATTTTATTGGCTTCAAAAACATATGGAGTGCCTCATACTACTTTCCAAAATTATGCACGGAGCTCAAAAACAATAAATGAAATATTTGCCCCTCGTCTGTGTAGGAATCCAGTTTTTGGCGTAGAAACTGAAATAAGCTAGTTAAATATTATGGGTACTCTGGTGTCTGTCATAAGTTGTATGAGTACTGGAGAAAAATTATTATCTCCATATTTTATTTTTCCAAGAAAAAATGCAAATTCATGAATAAAATTATTCATGAATAACGCTCCATAGATTGAAAGGCAGCATATCATAGTTCTGGATGGGTGAAAACACCAATTTTTACAAAGTGGTTTAAGCATTTTTTGAAATTTGCAAAACCAGCACAAAATGAAACTATTTTGTTAATATTAGATGAACACTATAGTCATATCAGAAATATAGAACTTTTTAATTTACCACGTCAGAATAACGTTATTATAATTTCGGATAATTAAATTAATTCGGATAATTTGGTGTAGTGTACTACGTTACCCAATAAGGTATACCACAATACCCGCCAAATTTTCAAATAGGAAATTTGTGATTTTTCCTTTATTTTTTTTAATACTGGTCTTATGTTTAAAAGCTTGAGAATCTTTCCAACACAGTTTTAAAAAGCATATTCCAACGAAGGTAAATGACTTTATCCGAACTAGAAATATACTGCGGTTGCCGAGAAAATCATAAAAATAAAAAGGGTATACGACATTACCCGCTCTTCCTCTATAATAGTATAAAAAATTCAGAATTTTGTTTTATAGAAAAAGTATGTAAAAAGACAGTTAATTAAAAAGGTAAAGCGAAAGCAAAAGAAAAAGATCTTCTTCCTTTAGTATAGAGTTGAGATTCCAGAGTACTACATGAGTACTACAAATTTGTTATACAATACCATCTTTCTCATGTCTAAAAAAGCAAATTTTTATCGTGAAAAAGCATACAGACTTACTTTGTCCTAAATGAACTCTCTTCATCCATGGATAAATTTGAGGGGGATTGCCATTTTTTTTACCACTACTTTGACCACCAGCTACTTCACTACCACTCATTTCACTATCAGAATCCGAGTCACCACCATCTGTTGGACTGTGTAAAGATACGTTTGTTTGATGTGTATTAGAACTATGATTGTTAGTTAAATTTGTTGTTGCAACGTTTGTTTTTGCTAGAGAACGTGACACATTTTCAACTACAGAGCTAGGTGATAATTTTGGCGATACATCCCGTGTTGATAGATCCTGTGGGCTTGATATTGGTTGATTATTATTACCACTTGGTGTTGTTTGTTCAGGAGCATATTTACAACTAGATTGTTGACTTGAATTATTAGTCTGATGACTCTGTTGCTGCTGTTGTTGGCTCTGCAACAGTAATCTCTGAGGTTGTAATTGTGTATAATCTACCATATCAGAATTTTGTTGTCCACTAGGTGTTGACCCATGTAGTGAGTAAGCCTGATTACCATAATGCGTTTGTGAGGTATTTGGATATAAATTGGGTGTATATGCAGCCGCTGCAGGAAAAAATTCTGAATTTGGTGTTGGTTGATTTAGGGTACTACCGCTTACATTGCCAGGACTTGGTCCAGCATTGTTTGAATTATTGCCAGTAGCTCCAGTGTTATTTGCATTCCCTGGATTTGACTGTGCTGATAAAGGGTTCCCCGGATGCCCTTGTTGTGGATTCAGCTGCGATTGAGGATAACATGATGCTAGAGAATTTACAAATTGATATGAAGACATTGCAAAGCAATCGGGATCCATTTTTTCAAACTTAGTTTTCACTTTACTAAATTCAAACAAAATGTGTTAATGCGATTAAAGGAACTTCGAAATTCAACCTTAAAAGAAACAAAAATATATAGCGATAAATACTCTTTTGTATTTAAAGAAAATATATGAAATATATTAATTTGAAAATATATTAATTTGGCTTTATTTAAAAGATTGGATTTTTTTTTCTTAATTACTCAGACGAAATACGTAAGCACAAAGTCCTTATTTCTTCGGAGTGATATTCGTGTTTCTGAAAATGTTTTCAAATCATTTTAAAAATTTTTGCGTTTTAAAAAATAGTAATAAACTTTGTCAATCTGTTTCGTTCTAATTTTACATAAAATTACTAGTTATAATTTGTTAAATTATTTATGTTGTGCAAATTTTATTTTAAGCCACAAGGGTAAATTTCATTTTGAACCACAAGGTAAATGAATTGCAAATCAACAATTTAGTTTCACTAGTTACCTAAGAATAACTATGTCGAATACCTATCCGCCGCAGTACAACTTCGGCCGCAAGTACAGGGTTCTGTTTCCCGATCGATGAACGTGGGATTGGGGTGGCCCGTTACTTGAGTTGGGTTCGAGCGTGTGGTATGCAGACGGGTCCAACACAGAGTCGGGTGTGGGTTCGTGTGTATACGGTGTTCGCCCACACACGCGTATATATGCAACCCTTGACCCGTATTGCACGTTGTTCCAAGCCGAAATACATGCAATAGAGATCTGTCTGAGAGTCAATTTAGAAAGGGGGTATAGAAACAGCAGGACTGAACTGTTGGCGCTTCATTCAGCTCAGGTTACATCAAAGCTGGTCTGGGGCTGCCTTGCTGTACTTGTGGAGTTGGCATCGGAGAACAGAGTCACGCTCATTTGGATGCCGGACCACAGTGGCCATGTGGGCAACGAGATTGTCGATGGTCTGGCGCGGAGGGGATCTGGGGCTGACTTTGTGCAGCCGCTGCCTTTCTGCGGTCTGCCTTCTTCCATAGTGTTGCCCAGGCTTTCCTGCCTGCTCGCGGCGGAATGCGGTATTCACTGGTGGGACACGGAAGGGTGCCGTCATGCGAAGGTGTTTCTTTCGGCGTGCTCCAGCGGATTCACCGCAGAGTTACTGCGAATGAACAGGAGCCGGGTTCGCACTATTGCGAATTTCTTCACGCTGCACTGCCCAGTGAAGTACCACCTGCATAGGCTGGGGAAGTCGGCGCCGCAATTGTCTTAGACATGGGTCCCTACGTGTTCGGGAACTGTTGTCCAACTCCTTTAGGGATATCTCCGGCTTTGTGGTTGGGACGGAGATATTATAGGTGGGAGCGTGGGGAGACCACAATATGTCTGTCCGTCGTCCCATTCTTCGGCGGTCCTCCAATTTGTCCATTCATTGTTTACAAAACCTCTACCCCATTTAAAATTGGAAGATAAAAAAGACTCACACAAATAGATATTATTTCTTCTTAAAGACAACTCCCAAAGATAATGTTTCTCTAGCATAAAATTTAAAATTAAATTAAGAAGTTCTGCAAAAGCAAAAATGTCACAATAGTCGTCGTCTTACGCAAAAGTATACCATCATTATTTAGCTTAATTAATTAGCAATAAAATTTAAGTATTACATTAAGATGACTTTTCCGAGAATTTTTTCTACTACACTTATGCAAAACTTTTTTTTAATAATCAAATTATTTCAATAATTACCGACCGTCTAGGTCGTAATTTATTGATAGGTAGGTTATGTGATGGCAACAAATTTTGCATATCGAGTTTTCGGTGGGAGCGAAAACTATTTGTGGGATAATAAACTATTTTTAGCAACCTGTCGGTCTAGGTGTGCACGCGTGCATCTCAAGTTAGGCTGAACCGATTTTGATGAAATTTTATATGTAAGTTTATTTCCACCATGGTACGGATTGATCAACTTTTGGTATATATCAGGCCTCAGGAACTGCACTTTTTAGCGGGCCTGTTTTAAATTTTTGAACATTTTGAAGAAAATATTCAACCGATTTTTTTATTTTTTTAATTTATTCATTTTTCAACTCAAAAGAGCAAAACAGCTCGTACAGAATTCCTAGCTTTTGGAACAAATCAGGCATGTACTTGAAATTTTATATATAAGCTCAGCTCGACCGTCCGCGAAAATTCCTATGTTTTGGAAGAAATCAGGCATCGGCAATTAGACCTTTACTACGGGCTAAATATACATTTTTGTGTATATAAACAGAAAAAATCAACCGATTTCATTGAAGTTTAATATATGAATTCCTCGTATTAAAACAATGAACATATAAATTTTTTAGAAAGATCAGATCTCGAAAACTGATTTGCAGACCGATTTTACATTTTTCACCATTTTGAAGAAAATATTCAACCGATTTACTTGAAATTTCATATATGAGCTTTGCTCGACCGTCTGTGAAAATTCCTAGCTTTTGGAACAAATCAGGCATCAGCAACGGGGCGTTTACTACGGGCCAAATATACATTTTTGCGTATATAAAGAGAAATATACAACTGATTTCATTGAAATTTAATATTTAAATTTTTCGTATTAAAACAATGAATACATAAATTTTTTGGAAAAATCAAGGCTCGAAAATTGATCTGCGGGCCGATTTTATATTTTTCGCCAAATCTACGGAACGAATTGATGGAATTTCTTGAAATTTAATATTCGAAATTCTACTAGGAGCCAAATCAAAACTCTTCTAGATATGTTAGTTAAAAGCTTGTTAACTTCTTTAAATTTGGAAGGAAAAGTTCAAAATGCATTTTCATAATCTTCTGCAACACTTTCAATAAACTAGACAATACAAATTGCGGTCGGTTATGTGCTAAACACATCAGACTTTTTTATTACATAAGCCGCAAACTATATAAATTTAACTTGTAGAACTAAATTGTGAAAATGATAAAATTTTTTGGTATACAACATATAGGCGTATGGTATTTGGATTGCAACCTGTGGTTTTAAATTCATACTATTTAAATTTAATTAAAACAATCTAACACAATCTGTTTAAGAATTACTAACTGCGCGTACAACTAAACTTCATAGGATACTACACTTTGTTTTGACAATATTATTCCCGTTTGTTTCCTAATAAAAGACTGTAAAAATTATTTTTGCCAAAAATTTATATTTCTTGAGGATGTACTATAGAACACTAAAAATAATTATTGATGTATGTAAGCATAAAGTGAACACGAAATATTTTGGAGATCATAGTGTGAAATAAAAATTTTTACACTAGGTATACAATTCGAAACCAAACTGCCTCAGAAATACTTTACTAAAGCCTCAGAAATATTTTACTAAAGCATATGTAATTTACTGTGTCAAATAAAAATTATCCTTTTTGCAGTAAACTTATTATATTAGAAAGTTACCAGTTCCGAAGAACATAACATTAACTTTAAGTCGATGTTTCAGGGGCTTTTCGGTAATTCAATTTCAACTTAAATCTTAATATAGAGAACGTTCGATAAGTCCAAACCACTAAATCTGCAAAAACAGAACGTTCGAAAATTTGTTGTGCTAATAAAAAAGCAGTTGTGCTTGAAATTCTAAAGGAATTTTGAAGTTTTTTTACTACTACTGAAAAAATTTTAATTAATTGAAAAAAAGCCAAATCTAACCAATGATGCAATGTGGAATCGGTCCTTTGACCGGAATTTCTCAGGTTTACACCATGGCCAGATCACTATAAAAATTAAAATAAATATGATATACCTACTATTATAAAATAAAATGCTAAGTAATTTGCCATTATATCCAATATTCGACATTTACTACTACAAAAATAATAAAACTATAGCTTAACTCTGATAGTCAAGTGGAAGACCTAATGCTCCCAAAAACGCAAATAACATGGCTATTCTTTTTCTAACTTACAGTAAGTAATTAAATAAAATATGTGAACCATTTATTTTCTTTTATATCAGGTTAAGTTCAAGAATTTGTATCTTACTCTTTAGACTTCATTGTTAATTAAAAATTATAAATTTCCGTAACTCAATGCAACGGCAAATTTCAAAAAATTTATTTTGTACTTAAAAAATCAAAGAAAACAAATTAAAACCGCATATAACAGGATTTCAAATATTTCCCATACATAAATAACTTTTTCTATATTTTCTACATAATTTTTCGATATTTTATACTTTATTTTGTGTGAGTGTTGAAATCTACATAAAAATATAAAGGGGATTGAAAAAAAATGTTCTCTACATGTGCCGAATATAAATGAAAATTAATCATTATACATATATGTGTACACAAGACCACTCTACATATAGAAATGAAGTAAATATAGTATACAACTGAAAAGAAACATTTTTAAAAATAAGAAATACAAAATTATAAAAATTAAAAATTATTGAATAGGAACGTCTTAAAGGCTTTAAACATTGACTAATATTTAATTTTCTTTCCATCCATTTTATACATGTGTAAATGTTATGTAAGAAAACAAAATGTACAATATGGTAATCATATTTAGCAGTCTTATGTAAAAGCTCACCCTAAAGTGTAAATAAGTATTGAGGCCCAGCTATTCATTTCAGTAAAATAAAAACACAGTCAAGGTTTATTTCAAGCTCTAGGTAGGTCAATTCTTTCTTTATTAAATATAGGAGAATTTCCGTACAATGACCATTCAAAGGCGGTCACTGTCAAGAAAAACGGTCACCATATAGAAATATTATTTTTTATTTTATTAAAATGGTGAAAAAGAACACATTAGCTATAGTCGTTTTTTTTTTAATGGCCTATGGAAAAACTTTATTTTAGTATAAATCCTAATATATGCAAATGACAGACATGCTAAACATAAGAACTGTGGTGGTGGTTTTACTGTCCAGGTGGACATACAGATACAGATTTCACTAACTTAGATTTCTTTAATTTGTAAACTAATTTGTTTCTAAACTACTAAGATTTCTTTAATTTGTTAGTTCTTGTAGGTTGGATAATTTAATTTTTGAAATAATTATATCTATTAAAGAATAACATACACTAATAGCTAATAACATATAATAATAACGTATATTAATAGTATAGG